TTCGCTAACTCAAAGAAGAACACAGCTGAAACTCTTATCATCTAGTTTACTTCTCATACTATCAGGTACATGAACATGTGAAACACATCCGAACACTCAAAAGTACTCAACTGAATGTTTGAATCTATTCCAAGCTTCCTCCGGTGTTTGATCTTTCACCGTCATTGTTGGACTGAAATTCAAAACATGGACTGTCCAGTTTACCGCCTCAGGCCAAAAAGTTTTTGGAATTTTCTTTTGCGATAGCATACTACGAACCATATTCATGATGGTCCTATTTTTCCGTTCGACAACCCCGTTCTGCTGTGGCGTATATGTTGTTATCAATTGTCTTTGTATACCATTCACATCACAAAAATTGTTGAAATCTCTCGATGTGAATTCGCCTCCTCGATCAGTTCGTAAAATTTTAATAGATGAACCTGATCCTTCTCAACACGGATTTTAAAACCTTCGAAAATTTGAAGAGCATCAGATTTTTCAGACAAGAAATAAATCTAAGTTTTTCTATTGAAGTCATCAGTAAAAGTTAAGTACACACCTCTTCTTGCTATTGGAGATGGGTGAAATTGGTCCACAAATGTCAACATGTACCAACTGAAGAATATGTGATGCTCTCCAAGACTCCTAGTGCTCTTCTTTGGAAACACACCCCTATGTTGCTTTCCTACGAGACAATCTTTGCACATCTTTGATGGGGACATGAGTTGTGGAAACCCATTCACCATACCCTTTTGTTGAAGAGTTCTTAGGCCTTTAAAGCCTAAGTGCCCATATCTGCAATGCCAAAAGTGCACCAAATCTTTTGTAATTGTATAGAAACAAGCTGATGCAATTGGTTGACTTATAGCAGTGAACATGTACATTTGATTGGAAGACATTTTCACATCCATGATTAAACCTCTCTCAGGATGATACAATTTACATCTTTCAAGCTGAAATAAAATGGCCAATCCCTTTTCTTGTAACTGTCCGATGCTAAGCAAATTATTCTTTAATCGTGGTACGTAAAATACTCCAGTAAGAATCTGCATGACTCCATGAATTTGCAGCCTTACATTGCCCTTTCCCATTACAGTCATGCTTGAAATATTACCCAGCTTTACCGTATCTCTGAAATTTTCATCAAAGTCCATAAAGTAATCCTTTGTTTCGCACATATGGTTGTTGCATTCAGAGTCCAAGAACCAATTGTCCCTTTTGTTGAGCGTATGTGTATCCACAAATGCCATCAACAACATTTCTTCTTGGGTTTCTACGTAATTGGCCACTTTGGTTTGACACTCCTATTGAAAATGCCCAAGCTTATGACAATTGTAACATTCGATATTAGATTTATCAAAAAATTGTTGTCCTCTTCCTCGACCTCTTCCTCTATAGCTTCCTTGGCCTCGACCACCTCGGCCTTTTCCTTCATATCGATCTTCAATAGAGATCTTCAATGCATGTGTTTCTTCAACTAAAGCAGTTGTATTGATGCCATGCTCATGAACAAGCAAATTGCTTTGTAATTCATCAATACTCAAGGTGCTTGTGTCTTTAGACTCCTCAATTGCACACATAACATAATTAAATTTAGGAGTCATTGATCTGAGAATTTTCATTACCACTTCCTCGTCATTTTATTAACAATGGTAAGAGTACGAGCAAAATACTCATTAACTGACTCGTCCGACTTCATTTCAAAAACTTCAAACTCTTTCCGTAGAGCTTGCAATTGTGAACGTTTTACTCTTGTGGCCCCTTAATATTTTTGTCTCAGAGTCCCATATACTCTTAGAGGTGTCCTTATTTAGTATAGTTTCAAGGACTGTATATTCCAACGCCTGAAACAAATAATTCTTTGCCTTCAAATCTTTCAACTTTTGATCTACAAGAGTTTTTCTCTGCGCCTTTGTCAAACCACCACCTTCTGCTGCTGCAGGCACTCCATAATCCACCACGCACCAATATTCTTTAGATCGTAAGAAATTTTCCATGAGCAATGCCCAATGATCATAGTACCCGTCAAATTATTGAAAACTCCTTCGATTTAGGTAAAAGAAACAAAAACGACCAAGTAAAGGGACCTGAAGGTTGATTGATGTGTTGTCGCTGGTTGTCGTTCATCTTCTAAGTTAGTTCGAACAAACAGGAAATGAAGATACGTGCTTTCAAGAACCGAGAAGAAAGTAATTTCTATAAGAGAAATTGGGATATTATATATATATATTGGAGAGTTTTTCTTGGAAAGTGGAAGCTTCCCTTCTGAATTGCCGTCGTCGGCCGGCGGGCATGACCATATGTAATCAAGCATCGGTTTACACATCTCCCTCCCCTGGGCTTTCTTATTTTAATATATTCCATTCTTGTAACTTTGGTTTCACCTTGTCCATTATTTGGCAATTTCATTTTTTTTAAGTTTATATAATGGTGAAATTATTTTAATCTCAAAATAATAAAAATTAATTTAATCTCTAAAAATTATAAATTTATGGACTAATGTAATTCAATGGTAGGAGAGAGGGTTGCTATTCTTAGAGGTCTCAGGTTCGAGCACCAATCACTATATATAGAAGTATTTGAGTCAAATAATTTAAAACATATACTGCCCTTGTAATCATCTCAATTCAATCGAAAAGAAATTTTTTTAACTCTTTAAGAATTTATATTTTAATCTCAATAATATATATATTGAAAGTGGTCTGTTCATTGCTTCTTCTGCCTATTAAATATGTTCATTGTTGATATCTTTTGATAATTTTTTTTAACTTTAACTCATTATTATTTAAAATTTATTATTTGTAAAAATATGAAAAAGTATATTTTAAAATTTTTAAATCAAGTCGTTTTTAAATATATATTTTATAAAATTTATTTTTCAAAATTTTAAAAATTTAACTTTTAAAAAGATCAATAATATACACTTTTAATGAAACGAAATGGATAATTTATTTATGTCAAATACCCAAATTATGTAGAAAAAAATAGATGGGTCTTGAAGTCGGCCCACCTAGCTGAGATGTAAATGGAGACTAAATTCTTAACAAATTTATTAACTGTACGTGCCCGTCATCTATTGGTGAGGATTTTTTTTAATAGTTGAAGTAATTTTAAGATATTATTTATGTAGAATTTTTTAAATCAATTTATATAATATATATATCTTATGCACGTAACTATTTAAATTAATTTGTTTAGAGAATAATATTTTTTATCATAAAATATTTTTTGAAGAATTTGTGAAAAAATTAAAATATAATACGTGTATTCGATATTAAGTCAAATACGATGAATAAAATTATTTATTTAAAACATAGTGGGTCTTTTAGGGGATTTCCTTTTCCTTTGAAGCGAGGCTAAACTAGCATCTCATTAAAACGAAGAAAGAGTTGAAAAGTCAAAATCAAGCTATTACTAGAAGAAATAATAGGTCAAATATGACTACTATTTTCATGAAGTAAAGCTATTCGATTCCTGAAATGAATCGCTTCATTGATATTTCATCGAGTTTAATAAAAACATGTTTAAAATAAATTAGTTTTGAAAGAATAATTTTGAATATAAATTCTTTCAAATATTAATGATAACGACATTTCATTTAAATTAATCATTCAATTATTTATATATTTTAAATATATTTTAATTATAAGGTAAACTACGTATTTAGTCGTCTAATTGTTTTCATAGTTTCATTATTGTCACCAACTATTTTTTTAAAGGTAAAAAGGTTCTTAACCTAGAGGTCGTGGGATCGAGTCCCACGGAGGACATTTCATAATTCGGAGGTCTCCTACGGAAGTTGTTCTCAACCTGGTGTTGGGGGCAGTCTACTATCTTACCTCCCCTTACCCCATACATATGGGAAAAAAGGGACAACCATGTCGTTAAAAAAAATCAACATGACCCTCTAACTCAGAAAATAAGCCCAATGTGACCCTTTAACTAATTTTTTTCGTCGTTGACCGTTATAGTGTTGATGTGACAGTTTACGGTTCTAGCGTGACAATCTGTGATGGTTGATAAAGTGAGGGATAACATGGAAGATGAGTTAAATTGATAACTCAAACATGACAGATGGATTGTCATGTTAGTATCGTGGTCTGGCACATCAACACCGTGAACTATCACGTCAGCACTGCAATAGTTAAACGACGAAAAACGTTGGTCAAGGGGCTACATTGAGAGGAAAAAAATAATACGATGACCACATTGGTTTTTTCTCTCAAAAGTATAAGGACCTCGAATGTCTTTTTGCCTTTTCTAAATTATACTAAAGTTACATTTTTTATGATTCGTTGTTAAAAAATTAATGGTGATACTGACGTGTTAAACATAAGATAATGATACGTCTTCATTAAACAAATTGTCGTGTGTATAATTTTATTTATTTTTAATTATGAGGGATCAAAATATAATTTTAAATAGTTAGAATATCAAAAGAGAACTAGAAGAATAATTAGATGACCAAATACAAAAGTTACCCTTAATCATATATATCTCGAAGAAGAAACCTGCAAAAGAGTGTGATGAGAGCGTGCGGGGAAGGAGATGGAAGCCCGAAAGCAAAGTGAAACTATATTTAATTACATAATAGTATTTAGGGTTATTTACGCATTTAGTATCTAAATTATCAATTTTGATTGTTTAACTACCTTAGACTTTTAATTTTTTTAAATCATACATAAAATTTAGTTATTGTTTCATTTTAGTGTCTCACTTTTAAAATTTTTAGTTTTTGTTTCATTTTAGTATCTCGTTTAAAATTTTAAATTTTGAAAAGATTGAAAGTTTAATACTAAAACAGACCAAAACTGATATTTTAAATTCTAAACGCATTAAACTTTTAACGATGTAAATAAAAAATAAATATTATATTTAATTTTTAAAAATTATAAATATCGTATTAAAACATACTAAAACAAATAATTTAATTATTAAATACGTAATTTTACCTTTTTACTCGAATATCTTCTCCTTGTATTGTCTTTTCTTAAGTTTTAACTTCACATTGACTTTGCTGTAATAGTAACAGTAAAAAATCAGACATTTTTTCGTACAAGTGTTTTGACCGTTTCGTTCTTTTTCTTTTGGTATTGTGATTCCACAATTATTTCAAGAAGCAAAACTTGATACGATTATAGAACTTTTCAGCTTCAGCTTAGAAGATCAACAAACTATCGAATCACTTCAACAGATTCTCCAAGTTCTTCAGTTTTTAAATCTGGGTATTCTCGGTTTCCAATCTGTTCCCTTTTTTTGGGTTTTATGGCTATTTGCTCCTGTTTTACTTGGATCACTTGTCGTCTGCTTGCTTGAAAAGATGATAACTATAGGAAATTCATCGTTAATTTGGAACTGCTTTTGTTTAAAATAGGCTTCTCTCAATCCTGCTCAGCTAAGAGTTAGTTATAAGCATCAGTTACACGATCCTACCGACAGCTTTGATAGGAACCGTATTTTGTCTTTCATTTTCTGGGCTTTTTATGTTATGGGTATTTCTAACATACCCATGGAACATTTGGATAGCTTGGATTTTTTTTTTGAAGTCATTCTTTTAGGGATTTAATTTCTACTTTTGATGATTTGCTGTTGAGCCTTTTTTGGGTCATGAATGATTGTTAGTTTTTGAATGATGTTCTCTTGCTTGATTTGGATGCTTGCCAACCTTTTCAAATCGGTATGATCGATGGCTTAATTCTTGCTATCCTATGTTTTATTGGCTGAATGTTATTATTGAGACAGAATGAGTGAAGGCTTTGGTAACGCAAGTGCGAGTTCCAGCTCGAGTTTGAATAGCAGTTTCCATGATACAGAGGATGATCAAGCCATAGCAACCATCTTAGCAGAAGAGGAGAACTTGCACGACAATAGCAAGCTTGGGAAAAGGCTTTCTCATCTGGATTCCATTCCGGTATAACCATTTTTAACTCTTCTTCGTTGGTTGGTCGCTTCGTTGAAGAAGTATGTCAAATTATACCACATGGAATGGCCATAATAGTTTTGGACATAAAAGGCATTATTTTTTTACGCTATTTCATTCCTCAAGGACTATGCTCTACTGAGTGACATGCTATACTACGACAGGTGCCAATGGTTATTGACAAATTGGACATATTTACATGTGTTATTTTCATCACTTATGAGACCCTAGCATTATTTATTTATTTCTTGTTATCAATTCAATAACTTCATTCTAAACTTTTCTTTTCCCATTATGGCGTGTTTTCCTAGTTAACGAGTTGTATGCATTATTGTGGCATAATTGAAGCAGAGGTTTTTATGGCATGATATAGATTGGTAAAAACATGTTCTTCGTACTTTTTTTTGGTACAAGTGCCGCATAACTCTTATGGGATGATCTTTTTTTAACTTCTCATATTAAATGTATATTTGTTATGGAACACACTTTACATTTGTTGGCATTTCAGGAGTATTACTAAGAAGTGTAATAATGTCCTTTTTTTCTTTTAACATTTCTTACCGTAGATATAGGAGTCTACCAAAGAGTAATTTAGTGTCCTATTTTTACTTTTTTTTGTCTCTCTTGCACTTGATTAGGAAATTGTGAATTCAATTTAATATGGTTCAAAACACTTTACTGCCTCTTTTTGCTCCTATGTTTAATGATTATTTCAATGTCTGTGACTCTGTTCTCGCCTGTACATTCTATTTGGCTGATGATTTGTTGACATGATCATTTTGTTGGCAGCACACTCCTCGTGTCATTGGGGAAATACCTGATGTGAATGACGCAACCTTAGATCATGAACGACTTTCTGAAAGGTTGCGATCTTGACATACACACTATATCAATTTTGCATCGATTGTTTCATCTTAAGTTGTTCGCTACTTGTAGTCAGCTCCCGTTTAGGCTTTTACAAAACAAAAGTGGTTTGGACTTCATTTTAGGGTTTAATTCTGTGGTTGCTACAATGTTATATTTGTCTGTTTCTTTTGAAAAACTTCATGGTCTCTTTCCGTTTTGCTGAAAGGTTTCTTGAATTCTGTTCCTTGTTGGCTTTAAGTTAAAAAAACATTTTGGACTTGTATTGTTAATAATTTTGTGCATTAAATGAATCCTACACGGTTAGAACAATTCCGTTCTTATTGGGTTGGTGTTCATTAATTTTGTGGTTAGCAAGAGTTGAAGCATGATCTGTTGCTCGGACTCGGCATATTCGGTGAAGTACCCATGCCGTCATGAATTGAAACAGATAAGGTAATTGGATATGGCTAGGATTATCTGGACTTGTCTGGGGAAATAACAAAATAAGATGGAAGAAAGAGAATGAAACCAACATGAGAGGTAAGAATGGAGAAACATCGAAATGCAAATAAGAAAAAGGAGAGAAAATAATTAATTTTTTGGGGTTTGGAAGTTGCATTCAAAAGAAAAATTCTCAGTTCAATTGCATGATTATTTTTCATCTTATTTTCTCACCAACATCCGTTTTGATTCTTTTGTAAATTTGCTTCATTTTGCTTGGGTTTTGTTAGTTATAAGGACACCCGACTCTCGTACCCAAGTCCTGGCAACATAGCAAATATGACATAAAAGATAGACATGCACCCTAACATGATGGTTGCAGATTTTGCATTTGATATCCGCCCTGTCATACCCTACATTTCAGATATCCATTTAAATTGGTTTGCTTTTATTTGTTATGATGGTTCTTCCCCTTGTTCAGGCTAGCTACATATGGCTTAGCTGAATTGCAAATCGAGGGTGATGGAAATTGCCAGGTCTTTCTTTCGGTTCTATCCTATGATTTGTCTTTTATATACAATCACCCTTTATACCCACATTTCCGTATAAAGGTGCACATATATGCAACAATGAGATTTTAATATTAGTCACTGGTTCTTTGCATTATTACTGTTTTCTTTGTCAACATCTGCTGTTTGCTTTATAAATCTCCCATGATGGTATGTTTTTGGATAGTTTCGAGCACTAGCGGATCAGCTGTTCCGCAATCCAGACTACCAAAAACGTGTTAGAAGGCAGATTGTCAAGCAGGTAATGCTGCTCACAAATGCAAACATCTCCTTGCAGTTTCAGATATTATCCTATTAGATAAATATTAGCTACTGTGACAAAGAAGCCTTCCCTTTTGGAAATACTGACTTGTTATTTCTCCTCGTTAAATAGGCGATTTTATGTCTTTTAGGAATGTTTTCCCTTCTATTGTTTGTGAGATTTATTACATCTCTGTTTATATGAATGAAGGCGAGTGCATTATATAAAAGAAAGAGTACAACTTTGGTGTATGCATTTCCTTACATAGTCTCAGAAATAAAAGCTTTCTTTTACCAACTCAAATCATATGTTACACATAACACATCAATACAAGTTGAAGATCTCAAAGGCTTCCGGGTATATATGTTGATGCCTATGCTCCTACCGAGAGAACAAGAGCATATACTATTTTTGATTATATATAAGGGTTAATTATGCATTTGAAATACTGAACTAGCGAAAATTTTCTATTATGTTATCTAGTTTCATTTAAACTCTATTATAATCTCTATCTCCTAAAGCTAGGCTAGAAAAGCAATAATGGAGATTAAAATAATCATTTTTTTATACTGACTCTCTATTATTCTTTCGGGTTATTTTAATTTCTTATTTATCAGCTAAAGCATTCCAAAAAGTTGTATGAAGGTTATGTTCCAATGAAGTACAAGAGCTACCTGAAGAAGATGAAAAAGTTAGATATTGATTCTTGTTGAATTTCCTCTGGATGAATATAAAAGATTTTCTTAATGATCTAGACTGAGTAAATTACCAACTCATTTAGTGCTATTTTTTCTGTTTCACTAGATCCGGGGAATGGGGAGATCATATCACTCTGCAAGCAGCTGCTGACCGAGTAAGTTGAAATTTCTTCTTTTTGACTCCTTAGAATGACTTCTTGTTACTGCCCTGTAGAAGCTCATTTTTTCCAAGCCATTCTCTATTGTTTGATTCGTCTTAAAATAGCCCAGATCTTCCTCTGTAGTGTTTAATCTGTCTTTCGCCTGAGATAGATACGATAATCCATGCCAATGAAACTCAATGAAAAAGGCCTTTACTTTTATGCTTAGGTTCCATAATCTTACCAAGCAATACTTTGAGATTCTTGCTCGTGATTAACTGAAGTTCATTAAGTTAAGCTCATGCAGAAATGCTTAAACCTTAAAGAGTCCCCTCTGCAATAATAAGCATTTTTTGTTATTCCATCTATTAACTATTTATCAGGAAAGCTTTTGATGTTTGACCTCTTCGGTATCAATTGCAGTTTGGAGCCAAAATTTGTCTAGTCACCTCTTTCCGTGACACTTGCTACATCGAGATAATGCCTAAACAAGAAAGTCCTAGTAGAGGTAGATATTATATAATCCGTCTTGCCTGATTTTTTATACGGTCACTCTTTCAGTTCCATGATAGAAATTTTGTTTCTTATTAACTTTGACTTTTATATCGAGTTCATCGCCGTTTTAGTGGTTTTATTTTGAGCATTGATAATCGCATTCCTAAGCTACCTTAGACAATTTGAACCCCCCAGCAGCTGATGCCTAATCTAAGGTTCTTATTATTGTGTATTTCAGAAGTTTGGCTGAGCTTTTGGAGTGAAGTGCATTACAATTCATTGTATGCAAGTGGAGGTGAGACCCTCCATCGCTTTTTTCTTCTAATGTATTATCTTCCACCCAATTCTTGCTATTTCATTAGCCAGATTAATGAAGTCTCAATCTCTCTCTCTCTCTCTATATATATTTACAGATGTTCCCACTAGAGCACCGAGAAGAAAGCTTTGGCCTTTTTAGGATTTATATATATAATGACAAACTTCCTTGTTTATATTTGTTATATGTGTATTTTCTTTACCTCCATGTTACCTTCAAAGCTAGGGTTTGCTGTTGTAAAACTTCATAACTATTTGATGACACATTTTATTTTGACATGCAAGTAATTACCATTCAGAAAATATATAGAAAGGTTTTGACTGTACAGCCACTTCTACATTTCAATACAATTTTTCTATTTAATTCAAAGACTATTAAATACCAAACAATTAAAAAGGGAAAAAAAAGAGAAGAAAAGAGAGTATATAAAACAAATATTGCTTGGCATACAAGATTAAAGGCAAAGTTTGATCATATAGAACATGTTTGAAGACTTTTTACATTATTACGCCATTAACACATAATTGAGTTTAAGTATTTTTTTTATTATCGATATTGATCAATTAATTCGAAATACATATTATAGGAACGATCATTTTAATTCAATTACTTTATTCATAAGGTCAAGATTTGAACATTTAACTCAAACTAAGATATCACTACATCATTAGAAAATGATCTTTAATAGAACTTATTATTATAATGTTCTAATGACCAATTTATAACTAGTTGTAAATTTAACAATCATTTTATAACTTCTAAAAAATCATTAGTCAAAACAATATTTAAACATAATTTAATTATCTATAATGTATTTTATTAAAGAGTAAAGTACACAAATGATCTCTGGACTATAGGGTACTACTTTATTAAGTCACTTGACTATTAAAAGTTACAAAATAGTCCTTCAACTATAGAGTGTTGTTTTGTTGAGTTGTTTTAATATTAAAAGTTACAAAATGATCTCCTGACTATTTATTATGTTTCAAACTCGTCCTTTTTCATTAAAAAAATCAGTGGTTGTTTAAGATAGACGTTAACATGATTGTTGAGATATGACAGTTATTTAAGATTCTGTGATCAAATTTTATCATATCACAGTTGGCATATTAACATTCAACTTATAATATCATCATTTTTTTTAATGAAAACGGACAAGTTTTGAACATGGTAAATAGTCGGGTGATCATTTTCTAACTTTTAATAGTCGAGAGATTCAACAAAATAACATTCTATAGTCGAAAGACCATTTTGTAACTTTTAGTAGTTGAGTGATTTAATAAATCATTACCCTATAGTTAGGGGACCATTTGTGTAATTTACCCTTTATTAAAATATTTTTATTATAAAATAAAAATTTATTTAAATAAATAAAGAAGATACATTATGATGAGTTTTCGTGTGAAATAGAATGTTATTTATTTATAAATATATATATTCATAGTAAATCCAAAAAAGAAATATAAATAATTTTAATTAGAAAAATGGTCTAGGTTTGATTAACAAATTCCAAAACGTTAGCAAAGGAAGAGTGATTGAGTCGGCAGTCTGCAAGCAAAAGATGAGCAGTCGGCGAGGGCCACCGAAGCACCAAAACAGTTACGCCTGGAAGCCAAACGCCGGTGTTAAAATCAACGAGAAGGTAACAAAATACATCCTTTTAGTTTAATCATATACTTTTTATTTAATATCTAAACATTGCAATTCTTTTCTAATAGGAAGTTGGAGGGAAGCTAAGGCCTTACTCTGAAATAACCGGAGTTTGCCCTCGATGCAGAGAACAAATCGATTGGAAGCGTCGTTACGGTAAATATAAACCCCTAACGGAGCCTGCTAAATGGTAAGTATTTTCTTTAGAAAAATAATGGGTTTTTGTGGGGTTTTATGATATTTATTTTTTGGGTTTGGTGTTTTTTGCAGTCAGCTTTGCACCAAACGTAATGTGCGCCAAGCCTATCATAATCTTTGTTCTGGTTCGTTTCCTCTGCTATTAGTTCTTTTCTTGTCTTGATTCAACAGTTTATAGTCAAATTGAGCTAAATGTATGTCAAGTGTAGTTCTTTTTATGAAGATTGATCAATTGGGTATGGATATTTTGTTTTAGGATGTGCTAAGGAGCAAAAAGTATGTGCAAAGTGTCGATGTCGTGTTGATCAAATAGTTGGGAGGTTTGTTTTTGAATCTTTTGAGGAACTTTTGATTTCACGTTTCCAATACATATTTTATGAGCAGAAGATCTAACATTGAATGTGTTATTGCATTTTGCTCGTACAGGGATTCTGCAGATGTGGAGGAAGAGCAAAAGATGCTTGAAGAGGTTGGTTTGGTGCAATTTTTTCGATGCGTTTTTTTAGATGTTACTTTTGTGTCTATTGATTTTCCTGAATGTTGTTTCAGGCAATTAAAAATGCTCGAGAGAGGGATAGAAGAACATTGTTACGTGCTGTAAGTGTCCAGTTAGACTCTCACATTGCTTTCAGTTTTTTTTTTCATAATTGTGAGTGATTTATGTATGAGTTTCTTGATGTAGGTTGAATTTTTCTAACTTTTAAGTCATGATTGTTGATAAGTTCTAGTGAATCAAGCTCTGTGTTGCTTACACCTCTATGCTAATTTCTTGACGTAACTCGTGAAAGAAAGAGTTAACTAAATGCTTAGAAGTTATATGTCTTTCTGGAATTGAATTTCCATTGATTGAGATATTATGGTTATTTTTGGCAAGACCCAGTGGCGCGCAGCGTGCTGGTATTTGAACCTTAGACCCACAACTGATATTGGCTGTTACCTACTTCATAAAAAAAAGATATATCCTTGTTAAATAAACAATTCAGTCTTGCATGATAAGGCATGCAACTTTCTTCTTCTGCCTCTCATGATTCAGTCCATTGTTTTTGTTCAAGTAAAAAAAGTAATATGCAAAATGTGCCTTCAATATACCTCTGCATTGGCAAGTTTAGTACTTGTTGAGATCTAAAAATTTAAACATCTTTTCTGTTCTTGTTAATTGTTTCTTAGCCGAGCATGATATATGTGCTTGAAGTTATTCTTGATATATCAACGTTGTCAATGAATTCGGTATCTGGTAACTACTAATATGGATACTTTTCGCTTTGGCAAAGTAAATTACTTTATTACGATCTTGTGTTATTCTCTGGTAATTTATTCTTCCAAATGCCTTAATGGCCACTACCTTTTCTTGTAACAGATGAATAAAAGTAGCTCTAAAAATTCATCAAAAAACACAGCTAACAAAGAAAATGGTAGGGTGGGTGAAATTTTCCCTTCTACATCGCTTGAGGAATATGCCAAGCTTGGTAGAAAAGATGATCAATATGACTCCAAGAATGATTGCATTGGTGACCACAATGATGATGAAAATGATGATCAAGATGACAACGAAAATGATGGTCACGATGATGATGAAATTGAAGATGGTGAGGATGATGACGACAATGAAGAACCGAGTGTGAGCCGATGAATAACTGGGGAGAAGGAATCTGCGCATACATCAGAATCTCTAATATTATCTATTGACCTTTGCTCCAAGCCGGTTTCATCTCGGCTATCACTATACTAGCAGGTTCTGTGTTAAGATGCCCTTTTGATTTCAACGAGTTCTTACAATTTTCTCATAAGATATGTAAACTTACTAGAATGTAATTGATTGTGACGATACTGCTTGCATTTTCTCTCCTTTATCCATTAGAACTTCCTAGCTAAAGATGTTACTTGGTAATTCATGTGGCATGGATCTGCCTTGGTCCTTAATCTTTTACTTTTTAAATTTTGAACTTATTTATTATTAATAACGTGATCAGAATGTAAAATTTTAGTTAATGCTATAATGATGGAATGACTTCTTTGTTACAAACCAATAATAGAGTGATTGAATTATAATTTTTCTAAGTACAGTAACCTAATTTAAACTATTCATTATTAAGTGATCTCTAGTATAATTTAATCAAATCTTTTTTTAAGGCTTAAATATAAAATAAGTCAAATTATATCATTTTTCATGAGTTAGTCCCTAAATTATTTTTTGAATCATCCCATATACAGCGATAAGTAAGTTCATTCGATCTCGGTCACTTTTTCTTTTCTTATTTTTCATGCTTTTTGCATCTTATCTAGAGTCCAACGGTAGTTTACATCGAACACATCTCTGCGCAACTTTGCAGCAAATGTTACATGTTCTATTATTTTAGAAGGTGCATAAAGGGTAACTTTTGTTGAATCAACAGATGATACTGCCATGCTATGGGGTGTTAAATTTTACAACGATTTGCTTTCACAAGCCGGTACGCTCGGTAATGTGCTGTCGGAGCTACTTTTCTGTAAGGATAAAGCAACTTTTACTTTCGAGAAGGGTTGGGCTTTCCCGAGAAGAATCTACTTCAATGGAGACAATTGTGTTATGCCCCCTCCCGATGCCTATCCCTGGTTGCCTAACGCCAGTTCCCACCAGTTTATCTCCACACTGTGTCTGTTGACAACTCTCGCGGCTGCAGTGGCATTTTTATTCAGATACGCATAAAGTTCAACCATTTTTTATACAGCAAAATCCGGTACGCTACAAATTTTCGATGGAATCGGTTCAAGTGTAGAACCGAGAACGCACGGCTTGCACGGTGAGAAGTTCTCATATGTGTTGTTGTGTGATGCTAGGCAGTTCAAGCGAGTCGATGTGCAGTTGTTCCATTTTAACGTATGGGTCAGCGTATTCAATATGATTTGATCACCTGTGCTGTTGTATGGATGTTCATGTCTGTATTTAAACCGGTAACCATCTTGATGGTAGAATTCTCGCCATATTTTATGAAATACGACTGTTCTCAAAATTAGTCGATTCATTTATGTCCTCAACTATAATCTATCACCATTAAAATACTGAAACACACATGGGGCTAGCCAGCTCCCATGTGCAATAATACACACACAAGGTTTTCTCTAATTAAAAAGGACAGTAATTGGTACTCCTAGCAAATATGTCTTTACATGCATCAACTTAGACTAATAGTAGCTCGTTCTTTTTGTTTTTCAAATAATGTTTAGGATCATTTTATATACTATCATATCCAATAAGATGCAAAACTTTGTTGTCGTGATCAAAAAGTAATGTACACGATTATGCTCTCCAATTTCAATGGAATATAAATTATAGGAATGACATGCATTATATTGATTAATGATGATCACATGAACCAACTAATTGCTTTGGAGCACCATGAGGGCTATTCCATGATGCATTGTATGAAAGATGGGCTACAAAGATCAGCTAAGGTCTTAATTAAAATGTGGTTTAAATTTTTAAAATAAGATAACAAATACAAAGGAAGAATCGTTTGATAATTATACCTTCAGCCCTTTGCAATCATAGTGGCAATGAGTACCCACGGCCCGACATATTGGCCTAAACTCGTGGGCGAAAGAACCATACATCTTTCCTTTGTCCATTTCAATATAATACATACATATATATATATATATATATATATAATCATTTTGCACCCGACAAATTAAGAGTTTTATATCTTTTTAGGATTATTGGATGAGAAAAATCAAATGTTGAGATTAATAGTAAAAAATAAGAAGATATTCAGTGGAAAAAAATAATAAGTTAATCCCAACCTTTAATTTCTCTAATCTAATAGTCCTAAAAAAGATGTAAAGCTCTTAGTTTTACATGTATAAGTGGATCCTAACCATAGATATATAGTTTCTTGTGATTGTTGGATAAGTAGAAATAGACAACTGAGATTTATCTCTTTATTTTCCCCCCAGTAAATAGCTTCTCCTTTCCAATTGTTAGTCTCTGTCGTCTATTTTCATTCATTTAACCAGGGGTGGTTGATAAGTGTTTAATATTGAATATTTTTATTATTATTTATACCTCATTTATCGATTGGATATTACTAATTTATCTTTATTTTGGGTTTATTTTGAACATGAGTCTAATTGGATTAATTAGCCCAACAGATTTCGACAGTCCATTTATTATCTTCTAGGGACAAGGTTATCCAAAAGATGAAGTAGAATTCAACTAGAACTATAAGAATTAAATATTTATTTTTATCTTTAATGATAAACCTTGTAAATTTAGGATTTTAGTTAAGCTATTTTATTTACTCAGAACTCTCGGGTTATAGATACGTTCAACAATTGAAAAACATATTAGAATTTATTTTTTTCTTGACTCGTTATTGAAGTTTTGCTTTTCTTTCATATTTTTATTTTCTTTTCACAATGTTAAGCATGATCCAGTCCGTGATTAGCTAAACTTCCACTTAGCCAAAGGTTTTTGCGAAATTCAATTCTAATATTGATAATTGAGTCTTGATCTTCATACCTTCAGATTGTATTCTTTAATTCTCTGGAAATTGGGAGTAGCAATCAACCATTTCCTTCAAAGTTATTACATCTTCAACTCAAAATGTGCACGTTGATTTAAAGATTGTTTTGCTTTAAGTTTAGAAGTTAGATTGGTTGATCGTAATTTGGCTCCATGTGAACAAACTTAGTTGCGGTCCGTCAAGGAGAATCAAGATCGAGTTTGATTCTCAGTGAGATGCTATAACTCAAGTCGAGCTTTTCCAGAACTTAAAACTATTTTGGATCTAACAACGATAGACCTGGCTAGGCCAATAAGAACCAGATTTCAGAGATAGACTTGAAAATTTCGGTTAACCGAAGAGAATAATTAACTGCAGGGGTTGTGCCCTGTTGACTGTAACTGGCGTACATCACGAAAGAAAAAAATTATTCCGATGATTGATTGAAATTGAGGTTAAGCAAAACCTAAAGTTATATCATCTTTATTGAATTCTTTTAATTTATTTACTTTATTTATTCTCTCATTATTTTTATTTAGTATTTATTATTTATTTACTTTCATTAATTTTAAAATCTTCCTCTTTTACTTTTTGCATTTGATTCAATCCGAGAACTGATATTATCAAACTTTCTTAGTTCATGTGAATTAACCATATTTCTCTATACTACTTTATTTATTTATTTGAGAATTAGGAATTTTATTTGACAAATTTAATACTTGTCAACGGTTTTATTGAGCTCCCATGAGCAGCAATTACATATTCATAGTTTTGGGGGGAAAATAAATTTACTTTAATGTATTAAGGAAAAATTAAAAATTTGCACACTCATTTTTAAAACAAAAAAGAAAATCAAAATTTGGGGTTACTTTTAAATTTTTAAATTTGATATTACATCCAATACAATAATTATAAAAAATATAAAACTAAAAATATTTACGTAATATATATTAATATTTAAAATATCTCAAATACCACCCTCTTTTCCTCCATATTTTTCTCTGAGGCAGTTACCATTCTCTTGGGCAGTTTTCAAATTTGTTGCGTTCATGGCAGCCGAGGTGGTCTTCTTCAACTACCACCCTATCATTTTTAGTTATATTTTATCGTATTTATTATAATAATACTTTTGGCCCTTTTATAATAAAGAGTATCATGGCTATCGGTGTTTTTGGATTCTCGATACAGGTTTTTTATTGGTTTTCTTCTCAGTTTTTCCTCAATGCATGGTTGTTGCTTTCTTGTGGCATGGTTCCTCTGTTCGGTTGTACAAGATGGTTTGTTAGTTATCGCATATATATGTCGGATGAGATTGTTGTTAAGGGGAGATCGCTTTGTCTGTTAGCCTTTTTGGTTCTTCTTCAAGTTTTCTTTCCTCAATGTTTGATGCTCGGAGCCGTTGGTAGATTCAGTTTATGTATGTTGTTGCTTCATTTGTTAATATTTTTGTTTATAGACTATCTCTAAGCGATCATTGTTATATTTTATTTTCGATAGTCTCAATTGTATTTGTTCAGTCTATAATTAACAAGACGTTTGTTGATACGACTTTCGATAAATAAAATTTACTGGTTATTTTCAAAAAAAAATATTTACGTAATATAATCGGATAATGTCTGTTTTTTATATATCTTGAGTTCACATAAATGGTTTGTGTCACCTGCTTTGCCATGTCACCTATAAATCTATCTTACTGAAAATTCAGTTTAATTTACATGCACGACAAAATGTATTGTATGTTTAAATATGTTATGATTCATGCTTTCATAAATATATCAACAACTATCTATTTAAATAAAAGCCGATCGATTATATAAACTAATGGTAATTAAATACATTAATGCTTACCGACTTTGCGATCATGAGATAATTAAGCAATCTTTTGTTTGAAAAACCATGTGAGGTGTTGGTTGGTTTACAAGGGTACCCAATACATGCTTGGGAATAACAATAAAAGTACAAGAAAATAAGAGCCATGATACAAAATCTCATTTAATTTTACAGGACAAATCATACATCTTAGATCTGAATGATCATTAACCTGGCTAACTACCCTCTTGATCATGTAGCTAGCTTGTTCCCACGATGTTCCGTGCCACAAAATAATGGGGTTCATGTTACATAATTGGTGATCCAAAAGCAGCCCAAGGATCGATTTCATTAATTATGTTGTATGATTTTCATAATTCTTTGTAGATTGGGCAGCTAGGACGAGTTTGATACGAAAAACCCACGAGGGGGCAACGTGCAGTAGGGGCATTGTCGAAAAGGGTTTAGCCCCACAAGAGCTACGCTTTGACCCTGGTTGTGGCCAAGCAGCGCCACCTGATCACATGCTTTTTGGCACCCTTTTCTCAACC